TCTACCTTAATTTAACTTTATTATTCAGAGCCCAAAAAAGATTGTAATTTCTTTACGGTGATAATAAAGTATTATTGTATTGTATACGCGGGGAGGGAATCCAGAGAGAGAACAGCCAGCATCCCTTTCACGGGAAAACGTGAAATCTCGACGGATTTGTTTCGTTCTCGCAGGTAATATTAGGTTTTGTGGGCTTCTGAGTTCAAGAAGCAAGCGTTTAGAGACATACCTATGCAGCCGTATCGAAAACGTGCACAAAACGACCATTCTGTGCATGTTTTCATATGGAGCAATGCTTTATCGGAGGCGGCACGAGACTATGGATTGAATACTACGTGTATAGCGGGGTCAGCTAATGTAGGTCAGGTAATCGAATGTTGGGGTAATCGCAATTCATGCGAACCGAATGTTGAGGTAATCGCAAGTTAAGCGAACCGAATATCAAACCATTTGGACATGAAAATAACCGAATCTTATAACAATTGAATGTCAAGATAATGTCTAAATAACGACACAATTGTAACATTATGAAACAATGACAATAATATTGTAACAATTACACAATAATGAAATAATTAAGAAATAAAGTTGAAATAATGAAACAATAGCAATACGATGCTGGAGTAATAACACAATAATGGAATAAGCGCAAAATAATGTTTAAATAAAGACCAAATAACCGAATAATGACCGTGACTAAATAATAACCAAACAAGTTTCCAAATAAAGACCAAACAACTAAACAATGTTCAAATAATGACACCAAGCTAATTTTGGCGGTATTCTCACCCCATATGAAAGCGATTACTGACTGAAAACTAGTCTCATGATCAGCAGTTATAAATGTCTTCATTTCTGCACTTATTTAATTGTCTAACAAAATGTTATTTTAGACAAATTTTCTTGTACATTTTGAAAGTTATACATGTTAGTTTCACCAAAATTAAACTTGGTTCATATTTTATAGTGACTGATTTCCAAGTTTCATGATCATACCCCAAAAAAATTGTTCGAGTTATGTCACTGATATCTTTAAATAACATACATGTTAAAAATGTCAAAATCACACTCTGATTACCAGGGGGTAATAACATATACAATAATCCAACAAGATATGATAAAAACTGTGAAACATCAACTAGACATTTTCCTTCAAAGATACCTTTCTTTCATTCAGAATGATACAAACGATGAAATAATGAAAAAATATCAATCATCTTTCATCTTAGAAATTTATGCAAACTGTCACTTGGTAAAACGCATGGATAATAAGTGGGGTACCCGGTAACTGGTGACATTAGACAGATATATATTTATAGAACATGTAACATCTCAAAAGATTGGCCAAAATGGGCTAGTGGCCATTACATAATGTGTGTACGACAGGTTCAAAGTTTATACTATGTAACCTTTGACATTCTATTGCATCATGGGTAAAAACAAAATGGCAGTCTATAAACAGTGAACTGGCTTATGCTGTGTGAATAAAACATGTAGATGCAGAAACTGAGTAATATGAACTATTCAAGCGAAGGTGAAATATTTTTTAAAATCACCACTTGAAATCACCATGTGTAAATTGTGTAATATGAATATAAAAGGAATGTATAGACAGGAGACGGGTATATCTTACGCATTACACTTGGAGAGGTTTCCAAAGGAGAGGCAGTGAAATCAACCGCATTCAGATCAGCTGTAGATATGAAACCATAACATTATAACATGCAACAACATGCATTCCCAATCACCATGGAAACAAGGGAATTAAAGCAACATGAGTTTTACATATTAAAAATGATACGACACAAGAATGATGCAAGTATAATCCTCTTGAATGGCTTAGTCTTTTCCACGAAACGAAACGTGAAAAAAATAACGAAATGAAATTAAACCAAAATTATGAACGACTTCAAACATCGCCGCGTCACAGAAATAAATTTGTCAAGAATAATTAGTTTCCACCTCTTTTCTGCCTACTTTACAGCTCGATTCATTTGTGCTGACATGACGTGACAGCCATTTTGGAATTGTTGAACACTGATGGCGCTATTCATTTCGTGTTTCACAGTGTGAAATTTTCTCAGATATTATTAGGCCAATGAAACAAAATGTGAGTTAGGGTTAGGTTTAGGGTTTTGTTTCGTTTTGTGGAAAAGACTAAGCCCCTTTGAACACAAAATTCAATTTTAGTTCACCATTCATATAATTTTTTATAGAGATTTTTAAAAACTTTGATCAAGACCACAGAAAATAAAGTCAATCAGGATCAAAATAAACAAAATACTGAAAAATTTGCAAAATATTGCATTAAAATTGTGGCGGGAAAATATATGACGCTGAAAGGATTTATTACATCATTCATTGGTTATACAAACATACACAACAGAAATCATTCATTGGTTATGTGCTACAAACATGTACTGTGTTCGTGCTACATACTTCTTTCCTTCACCATACCTTGAGGGTGAGTGGGTGTATTTTGGGGGTGGCTCTGGGAGGATTACATTTTTTATTTTCCATTACTGTAAATTACTTTATTTTCATTATTTTCTTTTATATTACATTCAATTCATCAAAAATCAATATAATAAGCTTCATATAAAACAACCAAAATGTCATTTCAGTGAAAAATAATTCAAGCCTAGTATTTTACAGAAATTTCAAGAGTCTAAAATTGGGATTATCGGTGTAAGTGCAGCTCATAGTGATTTAAAATTAGTGAGCATATATTGTGGTGAGGTAATCAATCAATCAATCAATAAGAATTGGAGATCAATAGCAAATTATCTTTAAGTATTACTCGTTGATTTTAATCTGCGCTAGAAAATGTTAATGATGAACAATGCCACCAGTCATACACATGTAAATACCACTATCGGATAATAGCAAGTCTGTCAACAAATTAAAATAACAAATAAAAAGCTGAGCAACACAAATAAAGTGTACATGTTCCCAGACCGAATAAATACAATAATAATAATTAAACTTTTGCCAGCAGATGTTTGGCAATTTGATAATTTCATTAATACAAGATTTTCCGAGATTACCAAAACCCAACAATTATTATGTTATAATACCTATCTTTGAATACTGATGTCTGAAGGAAGATATTCCAACCCTTACCTGATGTGGTGCCTGTACGTTTCACCACAGGCTGCATTCCCATACCAGCAGATGTACTAGCAGTTATGGACACTATGTATGTTGTATCTGGTATCAAACCAGTCAAGTTATACGGTGGGCTGGTGGTTATCACAGCACCATGGCTGGAATTTCGGAAATCTACTCCAATGTCATCAAAATCTGAAACATCAGGATCTATGAAGAAAAAAAGAAAGAAAATTCTCATTAAATTGACTCAAATATGTATTCGGTGAGTTATCGTATCAGATCTTGCATTTTATCACCTGTATATCTTGTATCTATACCTTAAGTAGACATCAGCATATATTCATGAGTACAGCCAGAGTAATATCAATCTTTGCCTGCTGCTCCTCAGATTGATACAAAACTCTGTCGGTAATTACTCATGCCAGCTGACGTCAACCTAAGAGAAAATATTGTGGGAATAAATCCAACAACAAACTTACACATGGCGTAAATATGAAACGAAAATGTGACGTACCTTGTGTGTCAATGACCATGATATATTTAATAGTATAGCCAATAATTATACCATTCCTATCTGCAATTGATGGCGGTTGCCATATCAACAGAAGATAAGTAAAACCCCTGATAACTACAACATCTTTCACTGGTCCTGGCACTGCCAAAAACAAACAAGACTTGCATGAAACAAAAAACTTCATTATTCAATGTCTGTTTATTCAAACAGGTAGATTGTTACTCGACAGTAGAAATAATGTAATTTTCTTTATTTTTACGTATGGGACAGTTCATATTACGAGAATGAAGAAAATGATAAAAATGACAAAGCAAACACTGTGATATAAATCTATCTGATGAACACTTTATCTGTGATAGGAAGCCTTCTGAGACTCTACGTTCTTCATTTTGCTTTAAAAACCACATATAAGCATTCAGAACTTTTGAAGAGGGTGTTTTAATTTATACTCACATCCTTCAGTGGTCTTTCCGGTCACATCGTCACTAAATGGCCCACCAGAGTTCTGTCCATTAACAATGTTATAAGCCAGTAATTTTACATTGTACTCAGTGTGCGGTGAGAGATCAGTGATATTAATTTCAAACTGGTCACCATCGGGTATATCAACCATGAGTGCAGTACTTGGGGATGAGTCCGATTTATGGTATATCATAAGATAGCCATCCACAACGCCATTTTTGTGTTCAGCAGCAACTTCCTAAAATATATATATTTTTATATAAGCTAATTGAAAACACTTCGAACTATAGCAAATAGGTACACGTATCAGTCTGACATAAGTACACATGAATGAAAAAAATCAGCAAACTGAGATGAGGTCATTAATACATCATGACATCTACTGCAAAATACTTTATTTTAGCTGGAATAAATTTTCGCTGAAAAGACTTTTTGGCTGTTTTGTATTTTTGATGAGCTCAATGTAAAATATAAAAAAAAAAAAAGGAATTTTATTTTTACTGAATTATTTCTTCAGCGAAAATGTATTTCAAGTGAAAATAAAGTATTTTACAGTATAACATTCTTCTGTAATTTAGCATTATGACGAAAATACAAAAGAGTTCAGGGAATTTTAAATACCCTGATTACTTCACCACGTCATGGCAACCGAAAATGAATCTTTCAATTCCAGATTTGTTGAGTTGATCATCCACACCAGGACTTTGTATTTTTGATCTGCATTTTATTCTTACCTCCCAAGTGACCCGTAACTGTGTCGGCAAACCATCAATCGGGAACACCATCACATTAATTGGAGCAGCAGTTGGTACTACAAACAAAGATGATAAAAAAGTGAAAATGATTATTAAGAAAGAAAAAAAATCACTATGAGCGGATATTTACACTCTAAACCTGTAAGCAATACTGGTTGGGAAGATGACATTCTTGAGTCACTGCGAAGCCACTTACAAGATTGTGCCTGATTGGGTACCCAACCCCAACACCTTACAGACAGACCAATCAGAGAGCAGCTTGTTTGTAGACATTCTATGGACACCAGTGTTTTTGTGAAGATGTTACCTGACTTCCCAACATAAATTGGTTTAATGTATAGCATTATGTGCATTGATATTACCACATTTTCCCAATAGTGTTTCCCAGTCTTAACAAAAACACTGATCCTGTTTCCACTCTTCAATTTCATATACCAGTAATGTTTCCAACAGCATTTGGATAAAGCATCAGAAATTCCATTTTGCCAAGTTTTACAGGATATTGCAATTCATCGTTTTACCATTTGCCCTATTTTTTTATGGACAGGTTTGATTATAAAACCTAATGCGCACCAATAGTTGTTGGTTTATAACCAAATTCTCATATAACCTGTTAAGAAATTAATTTACACGTGACAGACATGATGATGCCATACCTCCAGCTAAGGTTGTGGTGAACACGGGTTCAGTGTATGGACCAGGGCCTTCAGTGTTATGTGCCCTCACACTGATATCATATGTTCTCCATGGTTTTAATTCAGTTACAATAGTTTCATAAGTATCACCACTTGTGACGATCATAGTTTCCTCTCCAGTATCTGCCTCAATAAGAAGAACGTCATATCGGGTAATGGCGCCACTCTGATTATCTTCAGCTGGCTCCTACAGAGGGAAGGGAACACAGTTGCTTAGTACATTACTCAAATGACATTTCATAAGTGTATGTTTAATTATTTTGCTTGTTTACAAAAATCAAAAATTCTTTGCAATATTAGTGTGGAAATATGGGACACCCCCCTCTAATCACTATGACACTATATCTACTACAGCATCTTCTAGCGACACTAGTTTTCACTGGTAGTGCACCCTCTACAGTCAAACTCTAACAAAGTAACAGAGCACCTTTCAAAGTTCATATCTGCCATTAGTGGTAGTGCGCCTTCAACTGTCATAATACACTATTTTCCTGGAAGTAGCAGGACTGGGGTGCAAGCAAGGTGCATGCTCTTACCATGGTGCTAAATAAAAATGTGTTGATCTGCTGATATTTGGTAAGGGGCGACGTCAAAAGATCGATGTCCGAAATCCCAAAACTCCCCACCCCCCACTGAAACTTAATTGATAAATATTGATCATGGAGTCAGACTGCATTCACCATTAAATACAAATTGATAATCGGACAGTAGTATGGCATAGCAGTTGGTTGTAATAATGAAGCAGAATTTACACATACGTTTCAGGGTTCTGCGCATGCTCTAGGTCCATGATCTGAAATGGACCTCATTTGACGCACATATTCACACTCGGACCAAACCATTTTCTCGTTTTGGATGTGTTTTTTTCATTTTCTGTTATTTTTGTCTATGATTGGATAGAAAAAAAACGAACTGCAAATACTCCAAGGTTTTTTTTGACTTCATTAAAAAATAAAATCGTTTTTGTAGGATGGAAACTTTTTGAGGTCAACCCCACCCCCACCCCCACCCCCAAACTAAAGCAAATCAGTTTTTTATCCAACATCGATCTTTTGACGTCGTCCCTAAAAGGGAATCTTATTTTATCAGGTTGATTGGTACATCCACAAGCTCAAGCATGTTTACGTTGCACACCACACCCAAGAGTTCAAGATGTGCATGCATGGAAAAGCTACATCGTTGACTTTTGACTAGTACTGCTAGTGCGCCCTCTACTGGTACAATCTAACAAAGTAACAGAGCACTCTTGTCAGGGGGGATTGGCACGAGAGGGCGCCATCTGATCTGAATGGAACGTTTCAACGTCAGTCGTCCGTAGCCCATCGTCAAGCAACAACGTCCTTTTTTACGAACAGATAAAATAATTTCAGCCATTCCTTTACAGAATAATCCTCAACAAAACTTAGGCTACACCGATTTAATTTTATGGATGACATCCACGCGCGCATTAGTTTTCGCCTGTTCT